GGGGTTGAAGTGGGGAATGACAGCTAAAATAATAATAATTTACTAAATTGCAGTACTCATGACTGAGAGTTTAAGTGATAATTGACTGACGCAGTCCAGAGCAATCATTTCTGCTGGTTAGTTAAAGTACAGACAACAAAAACCACATTGACAGAATATTTAGTTCATGACTTGTATCTGTTGAAGTCAGTGATAAAAAATTTTGTAGCTGTTTCCTTAATTCTTCAATGCCAGTGCATTAAAAGATTAGTGAAACTGTATTTATTTTTGTATGCTGCAATTCAAATAGTGCTATACTAATTCAAAGCAAGCCTATCAGTTCAAAGTCATTGGAGGCATTATAGTACACTTGGCATCTGCTTTAGTCTTTTGGTTCATTGTGGGGTTAGCTATGTCTAACAGGCGAACTCCCTCCTGTCAGAATCTGCATCATCTCAAGCTTAATGTGCAGTTGGAAAGTTTGCAGATATTTATGAAAGCACAAATGCATGAGGATGCATGATGTATACTCAGCAAAATAAAAACTGTGAAGACCACTTTTTCTGATGCCACTTCTTTCACCACTGAGATCATCCATGCCATAAAGATAGCTAATAGATAATATTTACACAGTGCCCACCTAATATTCTATGTTTTTTTAAGGATATTGCCATTTCAGCATTGAATTAAAATTGTTGATGTGCAAGTCTTCAGAAACAGAGATAATATGATGTAGCTGGAACCAATGAAATAAATCCCTGCTAATATCTGGTATCTGGTGCTAATTTCTTTTACAGATATAGCAGTTTTAGTCACACTAACATAATTGTATGCTGCAGATGCATTTCTGTATATTTCTTTTGCTATTATTTAGAATAGAAATCTGAAGCAAGTTTTACCTGAATGCAGTTGTGATTCTTTTACTTTTCGGCTAAATCTCAAATAGACAGCAGGTATCCCCAGAATGTAAACTCAAATAAGGAATGAAGGGAGAATAGTTGTGTTTGTTACTAGTGCAGTTTCTTTTCTTTTGTTTTGTTTGTCACAGATATTTACAGTTAGTTGCAGTTGATTCTAGTCACTCTCCAGCTAGTGAGGCAAAACACCTATGATTTATCGAAAGACTAAATTATTAAGCTGCTGTTGTGAAGATGTTTCTGATGAGGCAAATTTTTAAATATTATTAAATACAAAAATGGCACCAATTCACTAGAGATGGCATTTTCTCATCATTATCTTAGAAATTTTTTTTAATGAATTTGCATTTCTCAAGAATGCTTTACCCATCTTGCCATAGTGACATTGATTTCAGGTCAGTAGTCAGTGATGTGACTTACTGGAGCTTATTGTTTCTGTTGGTTTTGGGAGAGAGGGGCTAATAAAAGGAGGCTGAAGCAAAATGCAAGAATATGTCTGTAAAACAATGCTCTGAGTCAGTTTTGCTTTGAAATAGAATGGTTTGTCACAAGTGACCTGTTTCTCACACATGCTGTTACTTCATTCAGCAATAAACACATTCTCCCCACCTCATAGCAAGGATTTCAAAACTGAATGTTTTACAGACTTCTTTAGAGCTGAATTGAAATTTTTTACTTGCCACCCCTTTGGGGATGTGGTGTGTGCAAAAATGTGGTCATGCATTTATTTTTGTAGAGGGAGGGGCACAGCACAGTGTTAGAGAAAAGAGGAGGCGTTCCATCTAAAAAAAACTTTAGAACAGAGCAGAGTGGTGGCTTTTGTTGCAGGGAGCTGACTTAGATTAGGTCCAAAGATGGTCCCCAACCCTCTTAACGGGCAGTTACAGTGCATATGAACACTTGACCTTATTATCAAGGATACACAGCCATAGTTCAGGAAAGCTCTTCAACAATGGACAAAATCTGTTGCTGCAGCATTAAACATTCTGTAATATAGAAAAACCTGGCAAAAATAGAAAAATGTAGTGATTGCAATAATCAAACCTTTTATAGTCTTAAACTGAAGGGAGACACTTCACTGAAGCTAAATTTGCACTTAGGAAAGTGTCTATCAGTAAAGAGTTAAATAAAAAGAATGTCATGCATGTGTATGTGATTCTAAATCCAGAAGTGTTACATTTCCTTTGTTGGCATTAGTTTCTGCTGAATATACAGGATATATATGGTGAAGACTAAGCCCTTCTGTTATTGGTGAAGTGTTTTAACAGAAGTGTGACATGCTTGGCTGAAAAGACTGGAGGTTTTAACAGATCAAAGCATGTATATTTTGTTCTTGCTGGGTATTTTTCTGCTTACCCATTTGCATTGTATTGACCAACTTCATTAACAGGAATTTTATCTAGAGCAAGACTTTAAGAATCACTAGTGTGTAAATTAGTGGTACATGGCAGAATTTTGTTTTCAAGTGCTTAAAGCAAAAGCTTTTGAATGGTTTTTTGATTGGTATTTTTTTTCTCCAAGTATTAATTGCCATCTTTAGAGGTGACTCCAGTAGTCATGGCTCTTGGTGAAAACTAAAATGGATAGGATGCTATTGAAACATGCCATTTTTCTGATCTCATGTAATTCTCTACTTGCTGCTGCTGTGAGAGATGGAGTCTTATAGTCAGATGATGCAGACTAACTATTGAATATTCAGGGAAATGCAAGCATCATGAGATATTTCTGCTAGATTGCGTTATTTTTCCTGTGTTTTTGAGATTTTCCCCATTTTCAACCCAGCTGTTCAACAGTCAACGCCTTTAGTGGCTATGCTGCAATGTACCCTTTTCTCTTGTAACTGTGGTGAGCCTTGAGATTAATGCCTCATAGAAAGGCTTGTGCTTTTTACAGAGGTACTCAGTAGGAAGAGGTTTTAGGTGAACTTGTGTTTCCTGAAGTCACCTGCAAGTCTCTTTGCTGGAACGAAGCAGATGAGGTGGCAACTGTGCCACTTGTGCACTTACAGTTAACAGCCCTATTCTGTTTCCCATAGAGCCTGTGAAAAGAAAATGTGTTGTCCAGACTTGGGCAGAAGAGTAAAGCTTTTTAGAATATGTGACAATAAATATTTTCAGTTGTCATTGTTCACAGCTCTGTAATATCAGTGTGAAATATTACCTCAAGAAGGTTAATAGGCAACTGTCACTTCATTTTCTCTTTCTTCCCCTGCCCCTTCCTAAATTCACAGTAATAATGCAAGTTTTTCACTTGTGGTTTGTTTGGTTTGGGGTTTTATATGTTTTAATGTTCATTTCCCCTTTCTTTGTAACTAAGGACAATTAGTTCATAATACCAAAAGATATATCCTAACAATAGTAAATGTGTCTTCTATGTTCTGTAAAATCATAAAAATATAAAGCAGGAGAAGATGACATATCATTGTCTAGAATACTAGATAAATAATGCATTTGATATGATGGCAAACAAAATTGCTGGAAAAAACAAGGGCAGATTTGACCATAATTGAAACAGCTGTTATTTGCACTATCTGTTTTTTGCAGAAGAGTTGTTTGAACATTTGACAGCTGTAATATTGCCTTATATAGGTTTTTGTTTGCATTATTTAGTACAGGCTGTCTGTTTTGTTGGTATAAGTAGACTACAGCTGTTTTGGTCTGAAGCACTGAGTAGCTATGCACCTGTGGTATACAATCCTGTTTCTCTTGGCCTTTCTCTTTTAAGTGAAATTAAAGTCTTTATTGCTTTTCTTACATACTCTGCTTTTTATCATCTGACAGACAAAATTGAAGGCTTTTTTATTGTAGCAGACAAGCTTTGAAAACTTTATGAGTGGATTTTAATTTTCCTTATATAAGGTCATATTAATAAAAAAATTACTCTGTAGTTAGAAAATGGAACATGGAGTATGCCACCTGTATTTTGATCTCTGCTTCATTGGGTAATTACTTCCCTGTTTTCCAGTTTGAGAATTAAGGATCAAGGTGGCAATGCTTTCCTTTCACTACCAAAAGCTGGGACAGTTGGATAAAATGTCTTATGACATTACGTTATCCTCTGTGTTGCTGCTTCAGAGAATATGGGATGCTTTGCTCAGTAGTTGCTTAAGCTGGGCAAATCCAAACCTTGGTGTTTGCATCATGAAAGGCCAAGTTGGGTCTAGCCAGATTTACTAGCAGAGGCTCAGTCCCATGTGAGCACAGCAATGGTATTTGTGGGGCCAACTTGTACCTGTGAAAAGGTCAATGTATTTCTTGGCTTTTGTGCTGCAAAGAAATTGAATTCTCTTGTGGCTGGATTTGTGGCACAGTTAACTCACACAATAGCAAATCATGCTGCTATAACTGAGAGCTGAGCAAGTCTACTTTTTGTTAAACTCAGTAGTTAAAATTCTGAACTAATTGTTAGGGAGAATGAATTCAAATAAGACCTTTCTGTATTAAGTTTCACTGTCTTTTTGTTACCACTTACTCTTTGACTTCCTTCACTTAAAGAAAAACCTATCATGCTTTCTTAATCTTGCATCAGGAGTGATAAAATAGAACATCATGCATCAAAAATCTTGTGGTTCTTCTCTGCTGTTGTCAACAGCAACTGTTTAACCACTTGTCATTGTGAAATTAAGTGAACACAGACAAATTGCTCTGTTTTTTCCACTATTATTGCATCTCTTCAGGTTATCCTTATTTTGTCTTTATCATTAACATTACAAATAGGTGTTTCTCCAGAAGTGATAGGTAATTAATTCAGATAATGTCCATCAGCACCCTTTGAAAAAGGTGTATGAAAACATTTCATGTGGGAGAATTGCATTCGTTACTCTGTCAGAAACATAACATGCACAGATGTGTTGGAACACTGAACTGTGTTTGTCTTAACTGTTAAAACAGCTTAGTTTTCAGATTGCAAAGAATATTTTCACAGCTTTTAAGGATTGGAAACCCCTTACCCCTTCCCTTAACGAAAGCATAAATTCTACAAAAATTGAAGAGGCCACCTAAGAAGAAATTGATATTGAGGATACCAGTAACTTCTGATTTAACCTAACCTGCATTCAGATTATTTTCTTGAAGGATCTGATTAATTATTCTCTTACATTTGCAGGGCTAATTACAACCACATCCAGAAAACTAGATCGAGAGCAGCAGGGAGAGCACATATTGGAGGTAAATAATTTATTGAGATTGCTGAAAAACAGTGACTGTAAGTTCATTGCTCTTTTACAGAGAATTAAGTTTGCCAGGCTTGATTACTATATGAAGACTTTTTAAAAACTGGATTTCAGAAGTAATTTCCTTCTGTGTTCATTATGTTGCAATGCAGATAACCACCTGTCTTATAGGTGGTTATTAAAACAGTTGTGTTGAGGCTTTTTTGCTAAAAAATACTAAAGGTACAGATTGAATGCAGTTTTTTGTTTTTTTTTTTCTATATCCCAAAACAAAGATTTACATTCAAATGGTACAAAGGTGTAATTGTTAAAAGGAGTGTGATTCCTCTTTTTATCTTTCTGGGTAATTATTGGAATAGCTATGTCAGCCTAACTTTTGCTGAGTATAGGCTTCTGCAAAAGTGCAGAATGTTTTTATAATATGGAGAATATAAAAGGACGGTATGTGAGTAGCCTGTTTTCTGCATAAAATGTTTATCAATCACATCAGTTGCAAGACATGCATTGTAGAGCCCAAGTCCAAGAGCATGAAACTTGTAGCATAATGCTTTTATTTACCTACATTTAAGTGTCTGAGTTTATTTAAGAGCTTTTGTCATTCTCTGTCAAACAATCTGAAAGGAAAACAGAGAATTTTAAGTCATCCAGTTTCACAGTGTTGTCAAGCAGTGTAATAGCATAGTACTTCTCCTGTAGTGAAGACTTAATATTCACAGTGATCCTTATGTCCTAAGATTTATCTGGAACGCTTATTGTGCCTCTTGTCGTGGATGACAGATAAAAGACTGCAATGGGAGTTGGCCAAATTAATGTTAAAGACAGAGAAGCACCTCTAGACTTACTCAAAACTTGTTAAATCCTTAGAAAGGTCTTCCAATAGGAGTGCAGTGACTGCAGAGATGTGGATATTAATATTTATTCCCTGATAGCACAAAATATCCTTTTGCATAGTTGCAGTATATGTGCAGTCTTCCTGGGCCTTTTGTATCCCTTTAGTGCATGTCAAGCTGGATTAATACAGCTAGTGGACTAAATTTTTTATTATTCTTTTAATTTCTAGATCAGCTTTGAAAATAATACTTTGTACCTAAGTAGCAATGGGGCAGAATTTCATCTGTGGTGTGTTTCTACAAGTAATAGTAACAAAATTAATTAAATGGCAAATCTGATTTAGTACTAGACATAATAATCCTGTAAATTTTAAAGTAATTCTATAATTCTCTTTTCAAATTGCCTTCTCAGATCAAGTTGTCTCAGTTTCCCAAAGCACTTCATGTCCATTATGTCTTATTTCTTGACCACTGCTATGTATATGGGTTGTAAAATTGGTGAATTATGTTTTTTACTTCTCCAAAGATTATACTAGGTTTTTAAAATTAGATTTATACAGTAAATAAAATGAGCTGTACGATTGTAAAATGATTATTTTCTGATCCTGAGGCGACATGGCCCATATGGTTTTGATTGCTTATACCTTATCCCTGGAACACCGTGACCACATGCAAGTTGCCTGTTGAAAATTGTTTCTGAATTGTGTGAATTCTCAGGCTGCAGCTAAGCAACGTGTATGTGTGTGTGTGTGCTACTTGTTCTGGACCAAAACTTATGCCAGAGTTGTATCACACTCACGGTGTAATATTATGGACAGTTCTCTGCTAGCTAACATGTACAGAACTCAGAAGGTTTACTTTTAGGATTACAATATCACGTAATGGTATATAAATCCTCCTGCTTTCATCATTCTGTATAAAATAGCAATTTAAGCTCATTGCTCTTTAGTTTGGAACATTGTTTATTGTCTGCTGGTGTAATTTATAATTCTTCAGTCTTTATTCATTTTGAATCCCAACTGGTTGTTTAAGTTTTAACTAAAAGTCTGTGAAGTATGTGACAGAAGAACTCTGACGGACAGCCTGGCCTAAAGTAGCAGCTTTCCCATGTGTTAGTTTTATGTTTACAACTCTGATAATAGTGGGAAAAAAACACAAAAATGCACAGAATGGTGGACAGTATTATGACCCAAGTGCTGAGCTAATTAATTGAGCATTGAAATGTTGACCAGATGGGTTGGTGGGTTTATTCCTTTTTGCTATTAAATTTGATCTTTGCACTTCTGCTTACATAATAGTAACTAATACACCCCATTTTTTTTTTTTTATTCCCAGTTTGTTTTCTGAGTTCCAGTTCGTACTTTCTTATGCAGTTATTTTAGATTAGCTTCATGTTATTCTTTCATATCTTAGTATACCCTTGGTTATGTCAGTAATGCTTTCAAAAGTGATGCTGCATTCAAATCAAAGAGATGTTTCTCAAATTTGCCTTTGTTATTTGCTTGGTTCAGGGCAATGCTAATTTTATGTTAACTGACATGTTATCCCATACCCCTTTTAATTTCCTCATTTGGGATATGCTTTGGTTTTCTCACTGGGTGTGGTTGGGTTTTTCTTGTGAACTGAAAGGTATGTGGTGGTGTTCCATTTCAAGTACTAAAGGGAGCAGATATTCAAATATGTGGAAATCATACCATCTGTTAGAGATGAACACGAATGTTTTGCATTTCATGTTGCATTTAATGTGTCAAAATATTAAGATAGTAGCTGAATATACTTTTGAGTATCTTTTGTAAATATTCACCTAATGGCTTTTAGCAAGTGCTTTAACTGAAGTTAGCAGATAACAGCACAGTTGTTCAGGCAGTTGTAGGAAAACCTCATTTAGGGAGAAGCATTGTTGGAAGGACCATGTTTGAGCTCTAACTTGACCCTTGTTAATAAAAACAGGTAACAGTAACAGACAACGGGACTCCTGCAAAATCAACAATTGCACGGGTGATTGTGAAGGTCTTAGATGAGAATGACAACAAGCCTCAATTCTTGCAAAAATTCTACAAAATTCGGCTTCCAGAGCGTGGTAAGCCCGAGCGAGAGAGAACTGCTAGGAGAGAGCCAATCTATCGAGTTATTGCTGCAGATAAAGATGAAGGCCCCAATGCAGAGATCTCCTACAGCATTGAAGATGGTGATGAACATGGCAAATTCTTTATTGAACCAAAAACTGGAGTGGTTTCATCAAAGAAATTTTCTGCAGCAAGGGACTATGATATCCTTTCAGTGAGTGAAAATCCTGTATATCATGAATATGTAAAGTGTTCTTTTATCTGTTCATTTCTTATTCTGTAGTTTGCAGGTGAGTGCAGTATCTGAAGGAAGGAAGCTTCAACAAATCCAGAAGTATTGTTTTGTATGTTTGTTTTGTTTTTATTAAGGGATGATTTGAGATGTTTGTATTGTGTACTAAGAACTGCTGTTCTTTCCCAAAACTTGACAGATAATTTATGTGATGAGGGAACATAAGCAATCAGTTTGACTCACCTTCAGAAAGAAAGCAAAATAAAAGTGAATTTATGGTAACAGCTTGTGCTGCTATCAGGTGCTGCATAATTTTTCTCTATTTGCTGCCCAGATAATGAAGGGCAAGTGGCACTTTGAGAGACACTTAACCTTTTTGAAAATATCTCACACGAGCAAACATGCTTGGAGCTTATTACCGCTTTCTATTTATGTGACATAATGATTTATGTGATCCTGTAACCTAAAAGATGTGTCTGTTTCACAGATTAAAGCTGTAGATAATGGTCGCCCACAAAAATCTTCGACTACACGGCTTCACATAGAATGGATTCCAAAGCCCATCCCACCCGCAGAGCCTATTTATTTTGAGGAATCATTTTTTTCTTTTACGGTGATGGAAAGTGACCCAGTTGCTCACATGATTGGTGTAATAGCTGTTGAACCTCTTGGAACACCACTTTGGTTTGACATAACGGGTAAGGATGCCTTAAGGGCCTTTATTATTAGAAACAAATGCATGGAGTCTGAAATACTGGAGGGCTCATTGCAGCTTGGTTTTAATCACTCTTCTAAATAATGCAAGATTTTCACATTCTTTAAATGCAGATGCAGATTTTATAAGTTAAAATTATTTTATTTTTATCAATGCCACTCTCTATCAAAGACTAAAATTAAGTTGCAAAATATCTGCTGTGTTGCAGTGTTAAAATTGATTTCTGAATATTGTGTCACTGAAATGAAAACTAATGAAGTCAATCTCGTAGACTGTATGATAGGAAAGGAAATAAGAGGCTAGTTTTCTGCAAAGCAGGATAGTATGCTCAAAAAGAGATTTTACTGTTCACATGGATTTCTTCTCCTCTGGGCTGCTTCTCAGTTTGCTTTTGCTTCAGTACTAAAAGGAAAGCTTGCAATGTTCCTAATCCCAGCAATCTTCTTCCTGTACATATTCTTTCTACTAAATCATATCTTAACTTCTACCATTGAAAGGGGATTTCTAACCAGTAATATAACTATATGTTAATGTCATGGTAACAAAATTTTTACTTTTTTGAAGTTTAGACTTAATTGCTAGACTTAAGAGCACCAGTAATATACAGTGTTCACTGCATAGCTGATAGTTAAACCAAGTTCTGTTGTGTGTTAGAATCAAGGAGAATGGAATAACCTTGTTTCAAGACAGGTGCCTTGTAGTGAACTGCTTCTAGTCATAAGTAAACTCTGTCAGTCTATCAGATTTTTGATAGACTTACGATTCGATAGATTTGTGATTTTTCTACTACGTTCACAAAAGAAGGATCTTTTTCCTCTTGGTTAGTACTGAAAACTTTAGCTATGATTATGGTGTTAAGTTGCTGGGAAGAGCATATTTTAAATATTTCTCAATATTTTAAGTATTTTAAATATCTGTTTTGCTGCTATGTATTTCCTGAGGTGTATTGAGAACAGCAACAGTTAAAAATAAAGTTTATGAAACTAACACAAGTAGCAGGAATATACACCAAATACATGAGGGTGTTTTCAAAACATTTTCAAGCACATGCAAACAGATGCAATTCTTCCCTAAAATCATGCTTTGTGCATGAACAGTCTGTGATGATAGTGATAATCATTGCTAATGCATTAAAACATTTACATAGAATTTTTAAATGGTTCTTACTAATATATTCTTGAAAAAAAAAGTTCCTGTGCAAATAGATTATAAGTGATAAAAAGTGTTGGTGTTTAGATAAATCTAGAGATTACAGATCTGTACAAAATTCTCATAGGCGCAAAGTTCTGCATTCAAGGTATTTTGGAACTGAGGCTGCTATTTTACTATTCTCCCAAACACACTCAGGGATATGGGAGTAGAAAAGCAGAAAGCCTAAAAATAAGTGAGCAGGAAAAATGAGAAGGTATTTTGTACTCCAATTCAAATTAGGGTTATCCATCCACAGTAAACTAATATTGGTAGACCAAAATGAGTCTATTAAAGGAAAGGTTAAGAAAGTGACATTGCCAGAGAAAGGTGAGCAGTTCATGGAGTTGAAAGAGAGTAGATAGAATAGGCCTCAGAGTTTTTTCAGAGTCTGAACACAGTACAGCAGTGATTTTTTTCTGGGGCCTTTTATTAGCAAAATTTGTTAATTAGATTGGGGGTGTACCTTCTTATTGTTCTTAGCGTGCTTCAGTTGCTATGCACTCTAAACAGGGAGTACATCTGAATAGAATTCTGATTGATACTATTATTTTGATCTGCTCCCTCTAAGTATGCAGCACAGTCAGACATTTACATATTTTTATTGTATACCTAATGCAGAAAATGAATGATCTTTTCCTGCTCTTTTTAGAAAGACGTATACAGAAAACTCCATGGGGAAAGAGCATAACTTGTCCAAGCATTGTAAAATAAACCATTTTATTTTGACGGTTTTCTTAGTAAAAGTGTTTTGGAAAATTTAATATATGATCATGTTGTGAAGTTATGGGCTATTCTTGCAGGTGGTCACTTTACTACCCTCTTTATTGTTTCTAATAGCATGAATGAATTTGATTGACAGCTTTCCTTTGTGTTCTGTGCTTGCTTTCCATGCTTTCTTTCTTTTTGGCTGAGCCAGGAGACAAGCTTGCTAGTGAAGTATTTTACATCTTACAGATGGCTTGTGACCTGAACTGTACAGCAGAAGGTATCTGCTGAGATCACATAATTTATTACCAGATTATGAGATCTGAAATGAAAGCGTACATTTATAAACTATTTATTTTATTAACCCTTCGGAAATCAAAGTGCTCACGGTTGCATTTGTGACAGGTTCGTTTTTGTTTTGTTTTGTCATCATTACATTTATACAGCATCAATTCTGAGCATCCAGTTTTGGCTTTCGCCAAAACTGTTGCTGTTGCACTTTCAGTGTACTAGATGCAGAAGTTTGGGTTGAGTTCTGCTTCAGTGGATCACCAGATATCACTGCTACTACAAATATAGGCAAGGCCCTGGTGATTTTCTTGATAAGTAAGGGGAAAATGTTGGTTAGAGAGCTTGTCCTTGTGTCAGGAAAACTGATTGTACCAATTCACGCTCATTCACTTTATTTTTCCCTTAAAATGTGGAGAACTTCATTGAAACATCTGAGAAAATGGTTTTGCCTTCCAGCTATAAAAGGAAAAACGAGATACACCTTCTAAAACTGACACAGTGCACAAATCCCATTAAAAAAAAATCATATACATCTGTTAAGAAAAAAGCTGCTGCCTTTCCTGGTGTCCAGTTTCTATCCATTTGAGTAATTCAGAAACTGCTGCTGGGCCAGTAAGAGGAGTTGGCTTTCAATTGAACTAGAGAAATTATGCCATGTTGGTCATTATCAAATATCTCAAATCCAGTGAAGCAGAATATAGCCCATCTTTCCTAAACTGGTACGTTTGTCATGCAGTGGAACCTTCTAAAGGTGAAATCCTTTTTACATGTGAATGGGGGCTCATTTCAGTATTTACTGTTTTTTTCTTGGACTAAGTTCAAATTTGCAACCTTTAGGACTTCACCCTCTCACTTCTAACCTTGGCTTTTCATAAAATGCATTTAGTGATTTGCAAAGCTTAGCATTTATAATCTTCTAAAGGAAAAAAAAAAGCTCTCAGATGATATCTGAATACTATCTGCTATCCTTGTAGCATATAATTAGAAAAAACACATGCCCATAATTAGAAAAAATCGATTTGCCATATCTGCCACTGGCTTGACCAAAATAAGAATTGATTCTTCCATTTTAGGAAGTTTATTGAGAAGTCTAAAGCAATTGTAGTTAAATGGCAGTATTCATCATCACTAATAGTATTTGGACTTAATGGGCATTGCATTCTCAGGGCTATCTGCTCCAGGTGGCATGATGATGACCAATTAAATGTTGAAACAACTGAGTGTAGCTATTGATCTACACAGTTATTTAACTATATTGAAAAGAGTAATTTGAAAGTTTCACAAGGGAAATTAAGATACTTTGCTTCAGAAAAGGAACTTGGCTGTATTTAAACATTGGACATTTAAACATTTAGCACTATTCTGAATCCTGTCTATCTCAGTAATACTGAGATAGTGAATTCCTTAGATGCTCAACATTAAGATGATAATCCTTTGTAGGTACTGCAGCTTTTTCAGCCTTATCTATAGTCATATATGAATACAATAATATGTACTCTGCTCCAAAAGATGAAAATTAGACTGTATGTCAAATGGGATTTTAATGTATTTTGATAAAAAGTATGTTTTTCACTTATTAGCTGATAATCTGCCCAAAAAGAACTATTGCATTTGATGTAGTAATTCTCAATTTCCTGCTGTAGGGAATCATAAATTCCATGTATTTTTTTTTTTTTTTAAGTAGAGAATCTTGCAAATAATAATTTTCCTGCTGACTTTCCATGAGCTGGGCAAGTCAGCATTGTCCAAAACTACTCAGTTTTAAATATCTTTTAGCAGCATATCATGTTACCAGGAAAAAAACCTAAAGTATTTAAACTAAATATATGTAAAAATATATGTATATATAGTTCCACCTTCATTAAGCATTGGAAGACAAAACATTGTCATACATAGAAACGATGATGTAATAATTCGTTTTATTGACTTCTCCCTCTCAATTCACTGAACAAGGTGGCAACTATGACAGTCGATTTGATGTGGACAAGGGCACAGGAACTATCATTGTTGCAAGACCTCTTGATGCGGAGCAGAAATCAAATTACAACTTGACAGTAGAAGCAACAGATGGAACCAGATCTATCAGCACTCAGGTAATGAACTTTCTGATGAAGCACTCATAAAAACAGTATGTAGCTGGAGGGTGGGGAAGGTGTTGGGTTTTCTTCTCACTTTTTTTTTAATCCTAGACAATGGTTTATTTAAATTAGGGTCTTTGTCTAAAATAGAAGTGAATTCTGGTATTCACAGAGCCATGTTGTTTGGTGTCTTAGGTGTAAAGGTAGTGTGTTACTATACTATAGTCTAAACCAACAGCTTTTAAGTTATAAAATGTTCCTACAGCTAAATAAATGAGAACAGAAACTAAGCCCCTGCACACACAACTTTCTTACGAGAAAAGGATTAATACTACTCATCTGAATTACTCCTTTTTACAAGCTCCCCCAAAATCACTACATAAATTGATTACTCTACTTGAAATTTAAAGACAACCATTTTAAAATTTTGTGGTTCCCCTCCCCCTGGAAGATCTGTAGATGACCAGTTGTACAATGTCCAAGTAATTTATATGAAACTAAGCTGCTTTTCTGTACGTACAGAAACACGGTTTAGATTATAACATCTCTTTGTATTGTCCTAAATACTTTATTTTAGTTTTGGTGAAAGTAGAGATTGCTTAGCAATCTCCAAAAAAGCAGCAAACTCAGGCAAACCAGTGTTTCAGTTACCTTTTTCCTAAGGCTCTCTGCTGGTGGCAATTCTTTGCAACTGAACTGAGGACTTCACTTACAGGTGCAGAAGCTTTTTGTGACAGTATTGTCTAATTCATAGTAAAGTAGTTTATATGCATTTACCACCTGTTGTTCCCATCTAGTTTTTTTCCCCAGCCCAGAACCTGAATATATTTGAAAGTACAGTTTAGCTGAGGTTGGTGTGAATAGAGCCATGATTATAGAGGAGCTTCTCTTCCAGATAGAAGGGAAAGGCTTTATTTACCGATTAAAGGCTGTTGGACTTGGACAGCGATGTGTCTGTATTACCTACCCCTCTCATTGACCTACCCTTCAGGCACTCAAAGAGCAATAAGTGGGTTGCTGCTGTCTTTTCTCTACATAGAGATCTGTACTACAAATGCAATTTCTTCTTGTTCAGCTTCTGTGCACTGCATATGTTTTTCTATTGACTTTTTTAATGTCTTATATGTTGTCTTCTGATTTTGGCCAGAAGAAAAGATGTTTCTTGTCAATGTTCAGGATTTTAAATGGAATCTTTTTTGAGCCGACTGCATGTCTGGAGGCTTGATAGGTTAAATAGAGTAAATTTGATAGTAGAAGGTGACCAAGTTTAGCAGTTTCCTTTGAGAACTGCCTTTTCCTTTAGAGGTGACAATTGTGAGTGATTTTTTCTAGACCATGAATCTTTAAAAACAGCAACATGTTTCTCAGTAGGAACTTGCTGCAGTCACAGCTGTGGTGCCATTGCCTCTGGTGCTGATAATCACCATAAAAGGTTTGGAGGATCCTGCTGTAAATTTATTACATTTGCCTACTTGTAGTAAAAATATTGAGCAGATTCAGTTCTAGCAATTACAGAATGCTGGATAGAAGGCAGGAATTACTTAGGACAAAAAAAAGAGGACAAAACACAAATTTAGCTAAAAGTCAAAATGACACATACGTCCTGCCCCCCCTCCCAAAAATTAATTCAAAAATGCCATCATACAGTGTGTTGGGGTAGCCTGGGGACTAAGCAAGGTTCAATATGGGGCTTTGGTGAATGCAGATAGACTGTCCAGTGCTGCTGCTTGCATAGCTGAATTTATGCAGATGGCCTGAGCTGTCACAGTTGAACCATAATCTGCTTTGTCTTTTAGAACAACCAAGAATGGGAAGGTCAAAAAATTACTTTAACCCTCACTCCTTCTCTTCCTCTGAGTTATGTGATTCATTTAGTTCTTCTTGGGAATGCAGAGTGTACTTTTTGTTCCTTAAATGAATTTGTTATTGTAACATTTTGTAAAGCTAAGTGATCATTGTAAACATTTACCCCACAGCACTCTTCTCCAGAAGAACTGGAGTAGTAATCTCACATTTGTCATTTCTGTGATTGCTTTTTCTGTGATTGTTTTTCATATTTTTCTCTTCCTCTCTCAGTTAGGCTTGGCAGGATCAGAGTTTGTGGTTTCTGTTACTAACAAGCACAAAGACTTCCTTTGGGCTGTCTTCCTTTTGCCCTGCTTGTGGGATAGGCGCAAGTTATGATGTTGCTGTTGGAGTCTCACTGTGGTGTATTAGTTTGAGGAGTGTGGATTAGTTCAAACTCTTTATGATCCTGATTTTAATTGATTCTCTGGCCTCTCTCATAACTCGTGGCCCACCCAAATGCAGCAATCTGTTAAAATAACCCTCAGGACTATCCGTCAAAATATGCATTTCAGATCAGGCTTAAAATTAGATGGTTAAAAATACTGATACAAAATCAAAATTGAAGGTGTGATTTATGGCTGCCGGTGTGTAAACTCCATTACTCACTGCTGAAATACTGATAATTGAAGTTTAAATCCTGATGTGGCATTGAATTCTTCTAAGAACTGATAAACAGTTAAAATGGAGTGACAGGCAAAAGAAATTCTGAATTCTGTGTGCATACATGAGGAACAACAATATGCCATACAGAGGTTTTAATTTACAAAGTAATTGCTATAAACACTGGATATAAGCAATATAACAGATCTGATTAACAGCAGAGTAAATAATTTTACATTTAATTTGAAAAAAGGAAATGACATTTGCAAGAAATTGGGGAGGGGCACAAGAAATGAGAGTTACTGTGTAAAGGCAGTGTATTGAATCTGACTATTAACTGGAAGGCATTTTCTGGCCTTGAGCCACTAATATCTGTAGAGCATTTGACTCTTTCAGAACTTCAGTTAAATAGCTTTTTTGAAAAATAAAGCAATAGTAGGCGTGGAGGCTAATAGAATTTTGCATGCATCTAAATGCCAAATGCATGAGGCAAATCGAGGACAAGCAAATTCCAGGCCTACAGTGGCGGTGTTTGACATGATGTTAGAAATTACTAGTGTCAGGCTTGGAAGGATTATGAATAAAAATACAGAAATACAGAAATTAAATAACTAAATCCCACAAGTCAGTGGACCTATGTACTGAAACAGTAAAGGTTATTCACAGGCTCTAAGTAGTGATAAAATAATTATTGAATTCGTTTTTGGGGGAAAGCAGAAATGGCCCTGTTTCTAGCTATAACCACTTGCAGTCATTGCTATGTATAGCAATTTTTTCATTGAAAGTAATATTTCATGTGGTTTACAGCTAATTGCAGCATTGTACCTATTGCTTTGCTATTGCAGAATATTTAATCTTGTTTTTTGCAAAATATATAGGGACATGATACTTTGGGAATGAAGTACAGAATAATCTTAATTTACTACATCTTTGCATGTAATTTTGCTTGAAATTTTACTGCTCTACAGAGACATTTAGAGCTGGAATAAGTTATATCATCTCTGGTTGATACAACTTTTTATTTATGAAAGTTATATAAACACGTCAATGTAACTATAATGTAATTGTGGGACAGGAGTAGATTTTTAACACAGAATCAGTAAATGAAAAATTATATTAAAGTAATCTAAAATCTAAACATTATCTTTAAATATTGTACATTGAGTACGATTTGTCAATGGCACATATCTCCTCTTAGTAGCAATCAATACATCCCTATGCAAATTTAGGTTTCACCTGTCAGATTATTAATAGATTTTAAGTCCTTCCTCAAAGTAATCCTGGGTTGCTTTGTTCTGTTTTTAACCAGTGTACATTGCTCTCAGTGGGATCTGTGGGCAGAAGGCAGCTGTGCAACCCAGCCTTTGCATATTTTTGCAAAATGAGTGAACTTTCTTTAGTTCCAGAGCACTTTGTTTCAAAGGTCATGTTATAGTCTGCTGATATCAAGCTTTTCTATATTGTACCTCTTTAAGGTTTCTATATTGTACCTCTTTCTTAAGAGATAATATTGACATATTTCATTTGAATTAAATCTTGTTATTTCACTGAGAAAGGTCCAAAGGCTAGTTTTATTTTATGCTGCATGTTTTGTTAGAAAAACACAAGTTCTTCATGTTTTTGTTCTCAGACACACTAAACCTTATTTTTCTGCATGAGTCTTTAAAACTGCACTCAAAATTATTTCTGCAAGTGCTTTCCATTTAACTTCAAGGTCTTTACAGTTTATGTGGAAGTTTGGTCCTCTTACAATTAAAAGGTAATTGCACATTAGCACCTGTCACTTAGCCTCAGTAAGAATTCCTGAATTGAAAATGGCGTTTCCATAGTAAATTTATTTAATATTTATTTAATAGTTCACATTGGGAAGAACCCTGAAATTCTAGTTAAAACTCCTGGTCAAAGCAGAGCAAACTGCAAAGTTGACCAAGTTTTTCAGTGACTCATTGGGTTCTAACTGGGATGGCTAGGTACAACACTTCTCCCTTGGGCTTGTTTTTATACTGGTGTTTAGCAACTCTCCTTGAAAAATTTTTTTCTTATGTCTAGTTATATTTTCTCTTATTGGAGCTTGTGAGTGTCACCTCCTGTTCTTTCACTGTGCATCTCTCAGAAGAGTCTGGCTCTCTGTCCTGCACCACTCCTGTGGACAGATTGCTTTTAAATCCCCACTGATTTTAATGACCTCTCATTGGGTTTGTTTCATTTTGTCAAGGTCTCTCCTATACTGCAGGGCTTAAAACTGTAGTGGATCTCCCCTGCCACCAGGGAGTGTCAAATAGAAGGGGATAATTCCTTCCCTCTGCCCTTATTAAAACAGCCCAATGTGCAGAGTTACATGAGTTACCAAAAGGGAGCCCATCAGGTCATACTATGCTTGTCCACCAGAATTTGTGCAGGGGAATAAAGTAATAACATCACTGAGAGAAAAGGGAATCCTAGAGTATGTAGATAAAACACTTTTCACTTGAGTGTAAGATAAACTTTGAATTTTGCATGCATTTAAAATGATTGCACTGATTTATGAAGTTGTGTATTTGTAGTTGTGTTTACCAGTGTGGAGAAAAACTGCAGCCTGAGCAACTAATGTGACAAGTAATGGAATACCTGAGCTAAACATTTGTAGTGACTGAGTCACTATGTTTTTCTTAGCAATATTTTAAAAAATAATTCATATTTAAGAATGCTATACATTTTGAGGAGCTAACGCCATACCTATTTAGTCCAACAGTACTTTTTGGAGGATTTCTCCTTATGTGTCATTTTAATTGCTTCACTACCTTATAGCAGAGTTGATGCTAAATCCTGATGCTATGATCACTGCTTCACTTTTCAATTAAGCTGGTTCATTGGATATGTGGTTAGTCCTGTAGGGACTGATATTGGTTGTACAGCTACTACATTCCTGGCATTTAACTTAGTCATTTGCATGGGTTTTTTTGTGGTGCTCCATTCTAGTAATGCTGTTTTTCTTTATTTCTTTTGTGTACTATCAACAGCACAGGTGGCCATATCTTCTGCTCCAAAGATTTGCTTAACGGAATTGCTCTGTAGTTGCATACCTTATCACTTACAATTTTAACCTATGTTTGTGTTTTCTTATTTGAGAGTGGAAATAGACATTAACTTAAATAGAAATTTTAATTTAAATTCATTGAATTTGACACCTCATCTTTTCACTTTTTTTAATGAATCTGATCTTAATAATTTCTTGGGCGTGGAAATTTAATAAAATTTTGGTGCTGAGTTCATTTTGAAAACATAGTATCCATTAATGAAGTGTTGTAATTGTATATGGCCTTTAAAACTTTCATTTATGCAAAATTTTTTATCATTTGATTTGTATTGAGTGTTGGTGGTTTATATTTTTTGTTTATCTTCATTTGGTATAATTTTTAATTTTTATGAGCACAATTGTTTAGTGAGCATCTGATTTTACTCAAATACTTTGTGAGTGTATTAGACCCTTCTATCTTATTTCTTCCAAGAGGCATTGAAATTCGATACAATTTAATACAATACAAAATTTAAAAAGAAACTAACAGCTATGCTTGTGTTGCTTTATTGCATCCTGTTTAATCATGACAATGTAAAAAGATCACATTTTTAACATAATATTCTTCCTTTTCATTTTCCAATTTAATTTGTTAGTTAATGTATTTAAAAACTTGTCCTAATATGTATCCTGGGTCACGTGCCATTAATATTTCTTCCCACTGAAAGCCAATATTTAGTCTAACTCTTTGTTTCTTTTCTTTAATCTGTTTCTAACCTGTGACAGCCCCAAACTTCTTAGTCTCCATAGCAACATCTTGCAAGGGGTTTTATCAGTGTGCCAAATGATTCAATTTTAGAGTAAGTTGCTAGTTTTGCAAGGTTGACATTTCTTCTTCCTGTAGCAAGAGGTATGGCATTTCCTAATTATTCACCACCATCAGGATTTATCTAATTTAGTTTCTACTGCGTGCAGTTTGGTACCTTGTCTAAATTACATCTGTAGACTCCACCAGTTACCAATGGAAAGCATTAAGTGTTTTCAAAGAGCAATTTAACCCACTTGCAATATTGTAAGTACTTATATTAAAAACCTGTTTATATATAGCCCTTAACAAATTTATACAAAGCTCCTAACCTTTGGATGGATAAAAGCATGGTTTTGTGTGCAGCACATAAAGAACCTGAATTTAGCTGTGTGCTGTTGGAGCTTTGCTGTCTACTTGCCAACTCCTTTGCATTACTGTTACTTGTCTGGTGTTATTGCTGTTGAAGGAACAGGATGGTGGCTCTCTGTCTTACCCTTTTGATACAAAACTTTGGTGCTGTGTAAAGCAAGTGGGGGTGCAGGGATCTCGTCTGGTTCCAGTGAGCAATATTATACAAAGACTCAGTGTGAAGCATCAGATTTAATTTAACTGTAACTTCAGAGAAATCATGTTGGTGATCAGTGAGCTATGCTGAAATTCTTCTCCATTGCTGGAGAATAGTAAACAAAACCACCTGGAGTTCTTTGAAATAATGCACTTTTGTGGCAATTCCACCACTTTTCTTTCCTAGGCTTGCAGATGGGAGGGGCTGAAAGAGGACTGGTTTTATCTGAGGGCAAGGAGGAAAAAACATTGAAAAAACATTGCTTAAAATTGTAAATCTGCACCCAAAAGCAGTATTTTTACCCACTCTAGGATCCATATTGTTTATTTTAAATTTTTGATTCCAAAATTAACAAGGATTTTTTTTTTTTTCTTGCTTTGGACAAATGTCATTCCCTTTAAGATGCCTTATCTAAGATGTTTCTGGTTGTACAGATTTCTGGTTTGACTTTGGGGAAGGTGAGGCAGATTTGGCTTTAGTGACATTCTTCTTCCCTACACGTCTTGGATCTCTCCCCCTTCCAACAAAATAAAATTGTCTTGAGGTGGTATTACTTCAGTATTATGATCTGATTTTTAATGAAATTATCTTCCTTTCATTTCTTTTTACCAAATGTCATCAATGTTTTCCCATTCCCATTGTATCATTTCAGGTGTACATCAAAGTTATAGACACAAATAATCACAGGCCTCAGTTTTCTGCTTCAAAATATGAAGTTGTTATACCTGAGGATACCTTACCTGAGACAGAAATTCTGCAAGTCAGTGCCACGGACAGAGATGAGAAGAATAAACTGATTTATACTATGCAGGGTAGCACTGATCCCATCAGTCTTAAAAAATTTCGTCTGGACCCTGCAACTGGCTCCCTTTATACCTCAGAAAAACTGGATCATGAGACCATGAACCAGCATATTCTTACAATAATGGTAACTACGCATGAGATTTCTTCTGTTGTCAATTATACACAGATGCTTTTTAATGTCATTTTAGTTTGTCCCCATAATTCAGATTTATTTGTATATTTAATTTTATTCAGTCTTTGTGACTGACTGCACCTTGAATTATTACTGTATCTGGTGGACTACTGAAATACCAATGCTAATGACTGTTGCAGGTTCGAGATCAAGATGTTCCTGTGAAGCGCAACTACGCCAGAGTCGTGGTTAATGTCAGTGACACAAACGATCACGCTCCGTGGTTCACCAGCCCTGCCTATGAAGGACGAGTCTATGAGTCAGCAGCTGTTGGATCAGCAGTGCTCCAGGTTACAGCATTAGATAAGGACAAAGGAAAAAATGCAGAAATTGTGTACTCCATTGAATCAGGTATCTTCACTTTCTTACATTTTCAGTCTGTTGAACTCTTTTTCAAGTGTAGATGTGTGAAAACATATTTGTGGAAAAAAGGGAAGCAGTGAAGGTTTATGTGCCATAAGAGATGTAGTCTGAGAGATGTATTGAAGATACAGCTTCAGAGTATTTAAAAGAAAACTACAAATATTCATCTATATCTTTTAGTTATTTATGTTATCCTCTAGATACATTTGACATATTTTAGTATTTGGGGAAGAAAAAGCCATCTTGAAACACTCAAAAGGAATAATTTCTTTAGAAATTACAGAATCATTCCATTCAGGTCTAAAAAAATGCATTCTCTTTTGATATTGTAAGTCTTATTTTTTGTAGCATAGGCAAAGCAAGGATTTGATAAATAGAGTAAGAGCTTGAGAAAAGTGTTTTTGTGTTTAATATAATGCAAAAGCAATTGCTTTAATATAATGCAAATGCAAACCTTAAATATGCATGTACCAATTTCCTAAATAATCCCAGCTTTTAAGGTAAACTTTCTGATAGATGCAACAAAAAAGGGGTTGCTTTCCATACTTCCCTCTGGCTGGTTTTAGTACTGGGACTGCTATTCTATCTTACCAAAATATTTCAGAAATTTCTTACGTGTTGGTCAGTTTGCATTAAGACTCCTTCCAGATTGCAGCCCAGGAAAGAACTGCTCCTTATTTTTAACCTCAGAGCATTTTTCAGGCATGAACTTGCCTACAGTAATGTGATTCTAATGGTGACAATTTTTAATATTAGAAATCAGGATGACATTGACTGAGTTCACTTACCAGACAGAAGTGGGTTTTGATTCAGTCCATTAAATCTGAATTAATACAAGTTTGCTATTATCAAGGTCTTGAGCTTTGTAGGCACCATGACTAGAAAAAAAAAAAAAGTTATTTAAATTTCATTCTTTAGGTGAAGTACTACTTTCAAGGGAAAAAATAATTTAAAATAAAAATCCCAATAACAAGCATAAGAGACTATATATTAAAGAGAACAACAGGCAAAAAGTTTCTCAGTTTCTGTTGCATGCAAAGTGATATGTGCTTTTTTTTATTTTACATAAATTGCTGTGTAAAGGATAGGAATTATTTACTAGAAATATTTTTTTTTTCTTCCCCAAAGTGCTGTTTTCATATGAAAGCATACTTTAACACTGTATTAAAACAAAGCTGTGCTTATGATACTCTCACGAGAATGAGTGTTTTTGAGTGTCTCATAACTTGCTTAAACTGCATGAGATTTTTCTGTCATTTCTAGAAATATGACATTTACTAAGCAGGACACCAGCATCCATGAAATTTTTCTCTTGCCTTTCCCCTTTTATTAGTGCTTGTTTTATGAATGCCAAACAATGGCAAGAAAAATGTGTGTGTGCCTGCAGTCTAGAATAAAGTTACATACTGTTCTGTTCCTTTCTTCTAGCTTTTTGTAGGAGTAAATGTAAGACCTGTAAGGTTTATTTTATAGGATTGTGATCTACTGGGAGGTTAAAGCATTATAATTGATATTCTAAGCAAATGGAAGGAACATTCCTCAAATGCTTGTAATGGCTGCTTAGATTTGTAATGGGATATTCTAAGAATGCCACTGTGTTTAGAGTCTCCTCTAAAAAACCCAAAAATACCCAACAAAAAAAAAAAAAAAAAAAAAAACCCAAACCAAAACACAAAAACCTCCTTATTGCTACTTGTGTGCCGAACTCAGAAGTTTTTAAAGATTTTCTTTTTTTCATGCTGAGATCATGGCTTTAGTAATGTAATTTTTTAGATAAGTAAAATGTTAACATATGTTAGCATATTTAATACATGAGCATAGTCTTGTATGCAATGTAGTTCATCTGTATATTTCAAAATTTGAAGCAAACAAGTATTTTTATTAAATGGCAGCTGGTCCTTCTCAGCAGGCTTTATTTTTCTTCTAATACATCACAGGGGAATAACTTGTCTGTGTATCAATAGGAAAATAAGAGACAGGTAATTATTTGTCCAATTTTAAAAGTTTGGTTTTGAATCAGTCATTTAAACAATACTTGTATAAACAATTAAAATTCACAAGGGTTTGTTACAACCCTTCTTTTTTTTTTCTTTCCCAAAACCTTCCAGTTGTTTTAGATTATAAAATGTAACTTTTATTCCACTAATGTTAACTTCTGAGTGTAAGTTCCTTTCAGCTACAGTCAATATTTAAGTTTTCTAAAAGAAAAAATTTGCATTTATTTTCAAGTCCTGGATGACTTTACTATTTATATTTTATACAGTATTTCCACAAGTAAGGTTAGAATTACTGCCAACTCTTGATTACAGAAAATATTCCAGACAGGCTAACAAATGTTTATCAAGCAAAACAAAGAAATTTTCATAGTGTCTGTTCTGTCTATGTCTCTTTAAGTATAGAACTAAATAAGCAGTCATCCCTTAAATTCTGTATACCTCTTTCTTAATTGCTTTTTCTTTCTTCACAGGGAATATTGGAAATTCCTTCCTTATTGATCCCATTTTGGGAATGATTAAAATTGCAAAGGAATTAGATCGTAGTAACCAGGAAGAATACAATCTGATGGTAAAAGCTACAGATAAAGGACATCCTCCAATGAGTGAAGTGACCTCTGTGCACATATTTGTTACAGTTTCTGATAATGCCTCGCCAAAATTCACAGCCAAAGAATATTCAACAGAAATCAGCGAAAGTGCCAACATTGGCAGTTTTGTTGGAATGGTTACAGCATACAGTCAGTCTTCTGTAGTTTATGAAATAAAAGATGGTAATACAGATGATGCCTTTGCTATCAACCCCAATTCAGGTGTCATCATTACTCAGAAGATACTTGATTTTGAGACTTTGCCTTTTTATGCTCTAACTGTGCAGGGAACAAACATGGCTGGCTTATCCAGTAATGCAACAGTTTTGGTACATCTTCAGGATGAAAATGACAATGCACCAGTTTTTATGCAGGCTGAATATACAGGACTCATCAGTGAATCAGCTTCAATTAACAGTGTGGTTCTGACTGACAAGAATATCCCCTTAGTAATTCGAGCTGCAGATGCTGATAAAGAATCTAATGCTTTGCTTGTTTATCAAATTGTTGAACCATCTGTCCGCCAGTATTTTGCCATTGATTCTAGCACTGGTGCCATTCGGACAGTAATGAGTCTGGACTATGAGGAGACAAATATTTTCCACTTTTCCGTGCAAGTACACGATACAGGGATACCACGCCTATATGCAGAATATGCAGCTAATGTTACTATTTATGTGATTGACATCAATGATTGCCCTCCTGTGTTTTCAAGAGAGCTTTATGAGACATCCCTTCTGGTTCCAACTTATAAAGGCGTGAAAGTCATAAGCGTTAATGCCACTGATGCAGATTCAGGCATTTTTTCCCAATTAATTTATTCCATTATTGAAGGCAACATTGGAGAAAAATTTTCAATAAACCCTAAGACTGGAGATATAACAGTACAAAACACAACTCAGTTAAGAAGCAGATATGAATTAACAGTGAGAGCATCAGATGGCAGATTTGCAAGCACTGCATCTGTAAAAATTAATGTGAAAGAAAGCAAAGCAAGCCAGCTGAAGTTCACACAGAGTTCTTACTCTGCAACAGTGCAGGAGAATTCCACAGAGGCAAAAACAATAGCTGTTGTTTCTGCTATAGGGAATCAAATAAATAAGCCTCTGTTTTACCATATTCTAAATCCAGACAGCAGATTTAAAATAAGCCAAACTTCAGGAGTCCTTTCAACAACAGGAATACCATTTGATCGTGAACAGCAAGAATCTTTTGATGTGGTCGTGGAAGTGACAGAGGAAAATAAACCATCAGTTGTTGCACACATTGTAGTTAAAGTCACAGTAGAAGATGTAAATGATAATGTTCCATTTTTTGTCAATCTTCCATATTATGCTGCTGTTAAAGTAGACTCTGAAGCAGGCCATGTTATTCAACGTGTGACAGCAGTAGATAAAGATACGGGCAAATATGGAGAGGTGCGTTACTATCTGAAAGAACATAATGAACATTTCCAAATTGATCCCACTGGTGAAATCTCCCTGAAGAAGAAGTTTGAACCAGACACACTAAATAAGGAATATCTGGTCACAGTGGTAGCAAAAGATGGAGGAGACCCTGCATTTTCAGCTGAAGTTACAGTCCCGATTACAGTTATGAGTAAAGCTATGCCAGTGTTCGAAAAGCCTTTCTACAGTGCAGAGATACCAGAAAACATTCAGCTCCATAGCCCTGTGGTACATGTACAAGCAAACAGCCCTGAAGGACTCAAGGTGTTTTACAGCATCACAGGTGGCGATCCTTTCAATCAATTCACTATCAACTTCAACACTGGAGTTATAAATGTTGTTGCCCCTCTTGACTTTGAGTCTCATCCAGCCTATAAACTGAGTGTCCGAGCAACTGACTCCTTAAATGGGGCACATGCTGATGTCTTTGTAGACATAATAGTGGAAGACATCAATGATAATCCTCCTGTGTTTACAGAGCAGTCTTATATTGCAACACTTTCAGAAGCATCTGTCATTGGAACATCTGTTGCACAAGTGAGCGCTACAGATGCCGATTCTGGAACCAACAGGGGAATTTCCTATCACTTGGTTGAAGATAATAGTGAAAGTCATGACTACTTTCACATAGATAGCAGCACTGGACTCATTCTTACAGCAAAAACTTTGGACTATGAACAAATTAAGCAACACAAATTACTAATAAGGGCCATAGATGGTGGCATGCTGCCCTTGAGCAGTGATACTATTGTAACTGTGGATGTAACTGATCTTAATGACAACCCCCCTCTTTTTAGCCAATTGCTTTATGAAGCCAAAATTAGTGAACTGGCTCCTCGAGGACATTTTGTGACATGTGTGCAGGCCTCAGATGCAGATAGTTCAGATGCTGACAAGCTGGAATACTCCATTCTGACAGGCAATGATCAGAAGAATTTTGTCATTAATAGTAAAACAGGCATTATCACTATCTCAAACCTACGCAGACAGACACTGAAGTCACATTATAATCTTAATGTGTCAGTTTCCGATGGTGTCTTCAGAAGCTCAGCCCAAGTCCATATAATTGTAATCAGTGCCAACATGCACAGTCCTCTTTTCAGCCAGAATGAGTATGAGGTTGAACTAGCTGAAAATTCTCCATTGCATACTTTGGTTACTGAAGTTAAAGCAACAGATGAAGACTCTGGTACACATGGCCACATCACTTACCACATTGTAAACGACTTTGCCAAAGACAGATTTTATACAAATGAGAGAGGGCAGATATTTACCTCCGAAAAGCTTGACCGTGAAACACAAGCAGAAAAAGTAATTGCCATTAGTTTAATGGCTAAAGATTCAGGAGGGAAAGTTGCTTTCTGTACTGTTAATGTAATACTTACAGATGACAATGATAATGCTCCTCAATTCCGAGCAACAGAGTATGAAGTAAATATTGGGACTGATGTTCCACGGGGTACTTCGGTCATTAAAGTCTGGGCATCTGATGCTGATGAAGGTACAAATGCAGACATCACATATGCTATTGAAGCAGAGTCTGAAAATGTAGAAGAGAATTTAGAAATTGATTCATTGTCTGGTATAATTACTACAAAAGAAAGCTTAATTGGCTTGGAAAATGAGTTTCTTACTTTCCTTGTTAGAGCAATTGATGGTGGATCCCCCCAAAAAGAGTCAGTTGTTCCTGTCTATGCTAGAATACTCCCACCAGAAGTGCCTACTCCAAAATTTTCAGAGCCATTTTATTCTTACACTGTTTCTGAGGACATTCCAGTTGGAACTGTGATAGATGTTATCAAAGCAGACCATAATCAGACTTTAGTATATAGTCTGATTAAAGGGAACACTCCTGAAAGCAACAGAGATGACTTTTTTGTGATTGACCGACAGACTGGAGAGTTGAAACTTGAGAAGAATCTTGATCATGAAACAACTAAGTGGTACCAGTTCTCAGTTCAAGCACAGTATGCAAATGAAGATTATAATGTTGTTTCCTCAGTAGAGGTTAGCATTCAAGTAAAAGATGTGAATGATAACCAACCCATTTTGGAGTCCAACCCATATGAAGCATTCATTGTAGAAAACACACCAGCTGGAACAAGAGTCATACAGGTTAAAGGAACTGACTTAGATTCAGGACTCAATGGGCAGGTCACTTACAGCTTGGATCCTTCTCAAGAGCTAGACATTATAGAGTCTTTTAGCATAAATATGGAAACTGGCTGGATTACCACTCTGAAAGAACTCGATCACGAGAAACGAGACAAGTACAAAATCACAGTGGTTGCATCTGACCGGGGTGAAAAAATTCAGCTGTCTTCTATGGCTGTGGTTGAAGTTACTGTCACAGACGTGAATGACAATCCTCCACGCTTTACTGCAGAGATATATAAAGGAACAGTCAGTGAGGATGACCCTCCTGGTGGGGTAATTGCCATCCTGAGTACAACAGATGCTGATACAGAGGAAACCAATAGACAAGTCTTTTATTACATCACAGGTAAGTCTTTTTGAGTAATGTCAGAATACCTATTTGAGTGATGCTGGAATGATGGGAGATACAGCTTAATCTTTGAAGAGACTGGAAAGTGTTTGAAACCCTAGAGCTGCAAAGAAAGAATGTGTGTGTCTTAATATGAATATTAAAAATTTCAGTGGAAAAATTAATTTTGTTGGCTTTGTTTCATGTGTGTCTTGCTTAAGATGCCTTTCTCTGTATATTATTTATATATCAATTTTTAAAAAAAAACTATGCTTAGATTAGTGATGCAGTTAAAGAACAAATGAAAGAAATTTCACAAAATAATAGGCTGTTAATTTCCAGTGGGGTATTTTATTGTTTCTATTTAGCGTATGTCATGATATGATGTTTTCTATAATGCTACATGAATTTCTAAATTAATTTTTATGGATTCTATTGGCCACAGTGTGAGCATCTACTGAAAATTTATACTGGGGAAATGGATCTGTTTCATAAAGCCACAGAGAGTGCCTGCTTTTTTTTTCCCTATACCTTAATTTTTATAGAGTAATAGTACAAATCTCCATCTTTAAATAAATACTTTTTTTTCATATTTCAGGAGGTGATCCTTTGGGACAGTTTGCTATTGAAAATATACAGAATGAATGGAAGGTCTATGTCAAAAAACCTCTGGACAGGGAAGAAAAGGATAATTATCTTCTAAATATTACAGCTACTGATGGGACCTTTGCAGCTAAAGCTGTGGTGGAGGTTAAAGTTCTTGATGCTAATGATAATAGCCCTGTTTGTGAAAAGGTAGGCAGAGTCTTATATCTTCCATTACCAGCTCCTTTCATACGTAAAATTTACATTTTCTCTGAAATTACTTCTCAGGAGACTGACAAATAGCTGTTCCTTTTAAACCAGTAGCAAAAATTTGGACTACTAAGATAGGCTGCTGTCAAATGATACTTCACAGACAGATTTTTTAAAAATCCAAAGACAATTCATTGACACTCAGTGAGTATTTGAGAGATATAAGGAGAATTGTAGTACATTTCTCCTGTGTTAATTCTTTTCCAAAAATAAGTATTTTAAGTTGTGGCCATCATTGTTTATATGCTCTATTTTATGAAAGAAGCAAAAGTTTTAAAGAAAGCTGAATTCCATTGCTTAGTTGAAATATTTGTGTATTTCCTGTGATAAAAGAGTTGAAAAGAGTGGAATATTACTCTGCAATTGCAGTCAACAGCACCAAAAATCTGTAAACCATAAATGTTTTCTTGTTACAAAGCTGTTTACTTTACCAGATTTTTATAGTCTGCAAAAATGGACATGAAAAATAAGGAATGGAAAAAAACACAGGAAGATAACCCCTGAAAAATGTGTTATTCCCTCTTTTGGACTTTTCATAGTTGAACACAGATTACATATTACTAGGTTGAAACCTTCCCTTGTACTAGGAAGGACAAGTATACAGTGAACATAGGATTCTTTTTCTTAGTTGATGTTTATGTTGGTTACTTTTGTGTAAATGTTTGCAGTTCTACACAGACTAGCAAGTCAGTATTTTTAGCTTTTTTTCCTTTAATTTTCCCCTTTGTTAAAATTGTTTTTACAAAGCTTAGTGCTTCTAATGTAATGCACATTCCTGACATGGTTGGGCTGTAAGAGTGCTTAGTACCAATAAACTCTGAATCTCTTTTCTTATTTTTAATTTAATCTAGAAGCTTTTTGTGTCATTAAAAGAGAAGGTATCAATTTCTTGTAGATTGAGACAGACCTAAAAAAGATGATCCACCAAAAGAGAGAAAAATGAAATTAGCAAAAAATTATAACTTCTATTTTGGGAACACATTTCACTATTAGTTAATCAGTTACAAGTGTTTCAAGTTCTGAGCAATGCTCTAATGTTCAAAAACCCCTGTAGTTGCAGTATTAAATACCTTTCTGAATAATTGAATAAATGTGAAGTAATTAATTAGAAAATCATAATTAATTTAATTTTCAGTTATTTCATCCTCTGGTTCACATGATATGTTACTAGACATTAAAACAGAATATTATTTCCTCTGTCATTCCTTCTTCCCTTCCCCTTTCCAAGCTCTGCTTATTTCATATGTTTAATTTTTCAATGTAACTTTGAAATCTTGCAGACTTTATATGCTGATTCAGTTCCTGAAGACGCCCTTCCTGGCAAGCTGATAATGCAGGTGTCTGCTACAGATACAGATATTCGTTCCAATGCAGAAATTACTTACACACTGCATGGCACAGGAGCAGAAAAATTCAGACTCACTCCAGACACAGGTAATAATACTTTATACATTATACAAGAGTCCAGTCACTTCATTTTATAAACTGCTTTGCTATTATATTAAGATATAAATGTCAGTCGTTAAAACTCTCCACTAAGGGTTGGTTTACTGTACAGCGGTTTAAAATGTGAGTTTCTACTACACAAATACTAATAATATATTGAATAAAGTCTGGCAAAAGGCAAGTATTTTAATTTATGAAGAACTGAAGCGTAAACAGGGTAATTGCCCTGAAGACAGCAACTTCCATGCTGAAGTGAGTGGAATAAAAGTATGCTATAAATTTTGCTCTGTTTATATTCACTGTAGTAGCAGCAATAATGGTTTGTAACTGTGAAATATCTTCATTCCGAATCTCTTTGCCATCTTTTATTCTGGAAAATTAAATGGGATGAAGTTAGATGGAGCAACAAATACCCTTTCCATAGCAAACACCAGAAGTGCCCCCAGTTTTATTGGAATGAGATGAACTCAGAAGTATAAATGAGATCAACTTTTAATTTGCTTCACTTTGGTCTTCATGGCATTTGTATGTTTTGTATTACAATATAGGTCACAGCTGCTGCCAAAATCCTGTACTGTGCAGCCTGCAGTAGACAAGCAGTAGGAAGGTAAAGTGTAGAAAAATGGAACAAGATGACTGCAAAAATGTATTGCAAGTAGAAGAAATTAGAAAGTTCCAGTGACAAAATAAATGAGAAGAACCTTACTTCATGGGTTTGGGGGGTTTTTTTGACTTCAAATGTCACCTGTGTGACATGCTGCTGTGTTGTTACATAAATTGAGAATTGGTAGGGCTAGAATACTCACAAACAGTGTTTCATAATACTTTTTTGTTCATAAGGCAACAATGACTACACATAGTAGTAACCTCTCATGTTTTCTGTCACTTTGAAAAGAAAGTATGTGTTAGAGTTCTACAGGTTTGTCTGTAGTAGCACTTAAGACCTCATAGTGAATAGCTGTGATAATTCATGGAATGTTAGAGGAGGAAATAGCAATACCTATGGAAAGAATACAACTAAATAGCTGAAAAAAAAACAGACACGGATTTAACTTTGCATTTTTTTAAAGCCAGAGTTCTAATACTTTCATTTACTTTGCACAAACACGCATGGATTTTTGCATGTATACACATTCTCTCTCTGCACTATCAGAGTTTAACTTTAGCTAATTTCTGTTTCAAGAACATTAGAAAAAAATAAAGTTTCTGTTCTTAATCTTTTCAAGCTGAAAAGGGGGGTCCTTAGATGCTTTGCTCAAAGTGGAATTCATTAATACAGTACAGCTGTTAAAACTTAAACCTTGCCATTTGCATCAGCTTATGTGTTCTGCTGTTTGTAGGTGAATTGAAAACATTAATGGCACTTGATCGTGAGCAGCAAGCAGTTTATCATCTCCTAGTGAAAGCCACAGATGGAGGAGGAAGATTTTGCCAAGCTAACATTATCCTAACTTTGGAAGATGTGAATGATAATGCTCCAGAGTTTACAACTGACACTTACTCCATCACAGTATTTGAAAACACAGAGCCTGGAACCCTTTTGACAAGAGTGCAGGCAACAGATGCAGATGCAGGTATGCATTCTTTGACTGATATTTTGTCATGTTCTCAGACTTACAGTATTATTTCTTTAGTTTTATCCTGAAAGGTGTCAAATGTTTCATTAGGGCTGACAGATGTTCATTACCATTCAGGATTAGACTCCTGAAAGATATATTTTGGTCTTCCAAATAATTTAACACCTGACTTTCATGTGTGAGTATCTTGGAAGACATCCCTATAGTGTCGTTGCAAAAAAGAGGAGAGAGGGGAGAGACAAAATGTAGGGAATTTTAACTGTCATAAAGTATTAATGCTATGATCAATTAGGTTCATCCTTTTCCTCCTGGTGTAAGTAATAGGACTGTCAGGCCATGTCTGTTCATGTAAATGAGCATTCATGGATTATAGAAATGTGTACTTCTCAGGCCAGCCATTGATGATCATACCATCAAGAGAACACTGGTCAGCTGTAACTTTGTGTATATGCTGTTAAGATTCTTACTGTCTCTTTGTCCTCATTGTTCAGTTACCAATATTTAAGTGAACATGAACTGAAAATGACATTAGAAAGAGTTTGTTTATAGGCTTTGTTGTAAGGAACACAACAGCATAAAGTATATTTAAAGTGTATGATTTCCACACCTCATCAGTTTCTTAATCAAATAGTATTAATGAATAGTTGCCTCAGTTTTCTAAAACTGACCTGCTTTGTGTTATGATTAAACTAAGTTGCTCATTTGAAAGGTAACAGACAGTTGTTTTCATACTGTACTAGTCTTGAGGCTCAGGTGGACCAAAATACTTGCCCCTGAAATCTATAAGGTTTTTTTAATAAAGAAATGTTGCTAGAAATTATGTTCCTGTTAATTTTGGGGCATGATTCTTAAATAAATGTACTGGTTTTGAGTCTAGTTAATTGATGCAACCTAACTCTCCCATATCCTCCTCTATTATTATAAGCTTGCTAAGAAATTCTGTTGTTCTAAAGTTGTAATTACATTTATATTATCATTATTTTCATATTAACTAGTGCTGTAACCATGGTTCATGTTCTCTGTATGACAGCAAATCAGTGCAGTGAAGTGTTAGCTTAATGTTTTTTGGAAGTAATTCTGCCCGTCACAAGAGACTTTAACTCTTTCTGAAATTTACTTGTAACATGAATGATAATATTTAGCATGCATGTCTTATTTTCGTAGCTATCGGATTATTCTGTTGTTGTGTATTTTAATGGCTGCTTCATGCTTGAAAATTGTTTTCAAAATGCAGGGTTGAATCGTAAAATCCATTATGCACTGGTGAACTCTGCAGAGGGGCAGTTCTCTATTGATGAGTTCTCTGGAATCATTCGTTTGGAGAAGCCTTTGGATCGGGAATTACAAGCTGTGTACATGTTAACTTTGAAGGCTACAGATGAAGGCTTACCTAGAAGACTGTCTTCAACAAGTAGTCTTATAGTTTCTGTTTTGGATATTAATGACAATCCACCTGTATTTGAGCATAGGGAGTATAGTGCAAGTGTATCAGAGGACATTTTGGTTGGAACTGAAGTTCTCCAGATCCATGCTGCAAGCAGAGACATTGAAGCCAATGCTGAAATCACATACTCAATAGTCAGTGGGAATGAACATGGAAAATTCAGCATCGATTCAACAACAGGTAACAGGTTACAGCTGTGAATATTATTTCAGGCCTAGTAAGCACCATGCCATAGTGACTTCCTCCATAGTTCAGCCAGGTTATGTATAATCTGTGTGCATTATCCCAGCTGTAAAGTTGCTGCTGCTGTCTTTTCACCCATTTTGCCAGCATGCTTACTAGAAGAGTGCAGTAAAATGTAGAATGGGAACTTTATTTGTTGCTTGTATTTATTGGATTATTACTTGGATTAGGTTCATTTAGCTGGCAAGAGCAAGGGTTTCCTAACTGGATATTCCCCACTCTGGAGGCAGGCAGGTGGAAAGACATAGATCTGTAATGAGAAATATAATAGTCTTTCCACAGAAGGTATATAAACAGCAGGAATGGGCAGGCTTGGCAAAAGAAGGATTAGAAATAAAATTGCTTGGTAAGACTAGTCATTGGTCCACAAAGGCAATAATCCTAGAGGAGTTTGATATAGCATTAAAGACAGCTTGGATATGTTCAACCATATGTCCAGCATGACAGTGGAGATATTAGGCTTGTATGATAGTCAGATTTAGTCTAGGGGACTATTTAGGTTATGTTGAGAATTTTTCGCTATTAATGACAATTCTTTGTTAAAATCCATAAACACCTCAATTTTAGTTTTGTTTGCTTATATAGTTCT